TTGATTTTGCTAATCTTTTCAAAGAACCAACTGTTAGTTTCACTAATGTACTGAATAATTCTTTTGTTTTCAATTTTATTTACTTCTGCTCTAATTTTGGTAATTTATTTTCTTCTGTTAGTTTTGGGATTAGATTGTTCTTCCTTTTCCAGTTGCTTGAGATGGCTTATTAGGTTGTTAACTTGCTCTCTTTCTGTTTTCTTAATGAAGGCTTTCTGTTTTCTTAATGAAGGCATCTAATGCTATAAATTTCCTTTTAAAGACTGCCTTTGCAGTATCCCATAGGTTATTGATAGATTGTGTCTTCATTATTGTTTTGTTCCAGAAATCTAATGATTTCCTTCTTGATTTCATCTATGACCCAGCTATCATTCAGCATTAGGTATTTAGTGTCCATGATTTTATTTGAGTATGACAATTTCTATTGTGTTGAGCTCAACTTTTATTTCATGATGGTCTGAGGAGATACAGGAGATAATTTCTATTCTTTTGAATTTGAGATAATTTCTATTCTTTTGAATTTGTTGAGGTTAGTCTTGTGACCTAAGATATGATCAATTTTGGAAGATGATCCATGGGCTGATGAGAAGAACACGTATTCAGTTTTGTTAGGATAAAGTGTTCTATAAATGGCTGTTAAGTCCATTTGTTCTAGGGTCTTGTTTAAGTTTATTATTTCTTTGTTTAGTATTTGCTTGGAGGATCTGTCCAGTACTGCCAATGGGGTGTTAAAATCTCTAGCTATTATAGTATGGGAAGATATCATATCGTTCAGATCAGTTAGGGTTTGTTTAATATATGAAGGAACAATCAGATAGGGTGCATAGATGTTAACTATTGAAATCTCTTCATATTGTGGTTCCCTTGACCAGTATGAAGTGTCCATCTTTGTCTTTCATTATTTTTGTTGGTTTGAATCCCATTGTATCTGCATGTAAGATTGCAATGCCAGCTTTTTTTCTGCTTTCCATTTGCCTAGAATACTATTGCTCATCCCTTTACCCTGAGTCTTGTTATATCTTTTGAGGTAAGATGAGTTTCTTGTAGGCAACAGATACCTGGCCTGAGTTTTTGTACCCAGGCAGCCAGCCTATGCCTCTTTAGAGGAGAGTTAAAACAATTTGCATCAATTGAGAATTGATAGATGTGGCAGAGTTTTGGCCATCTTGTTCTTCAGAAGTCCAGAGCTTAATTTTGTGCCTCTCACCGTTGTGGAAGCTAGGCTTTGTTCTTTAATTTCTGGGTAGGTTTACTTTGGTGATCTATCCTCCTGGTGCTTGTTATGAAGAATGAGTCTGAGTATTTCCTGTAGAGCTGGTTGAGTTATGGCAAATTTCCTCAGCATGTGCATGTCAGTGAAGTATTTGATTTCTCCATCACAAATGAAACTCAGTTTAGCAGGGTATAGAATCCTGGGTTGGCAATTGTTTTGTTTAAGAAGGTTGAAGGTCAACGATCATCCTTTTTTGGCTTGGAAAACTTTGGCTGAAATATCTGCAATCATTCTTATACTTTTCCCTTTGTAAGTAATATTTATACCTGGCTGCTTGCAGAAGTTTCTCCTTCATTTTAACTTTGGAAAAATTAATTACAATGTGTCAAGGAGAGGCTTTGTTTGGATTGAATCTTGCTGGGGTTCTGAAACTATCTACTATCTGAATTTCTCTGTCTCTTGCAATATTTGGGAATTTCCTCACCATAATATCTTGGAGCAGAGAATTTGTGCCTTTGGGACCATCTTCTTCTCCTTCAGGAATCTCTATAATTTGGATGTTTGATTTGTTGGAATTATCCCATAACTCTCTCAAGGAATATTCTGTTCTTTTTCTCCATTTTTCTGCCTCTTTGAATGCTTGAGATAGTTCAAAAGTCTTGTCTTCTTCACTACTCAACTCTATTTCTGAGGAACTCTACTGTATTTTGAAGCTCCTCAAATACCTTTCAATTCCTTAAACTCTGCTATATCTTTCCTCATTATGTCCGTATCCTTGGTGACTTTGTCTTTGAATTCATTAATTTCTTGAGACAACTTCTGAACTGTTTTTTGGTTCTCTGTTTCCATCTTTTCCTCCAGGCCTATTATCTTATTTGCCATTCATATTCTAAATTCTGTTTCTGACATTACAGCAATTTCTCTGTGAATGGGATTCTCTGTTGTATTTTCTTTTATGTCCCCAGGAGGCCTCGATTTGCTCTGATTTTGCATGTTCATGTTGCATATTGCCAGAGTTCTTCAGCTGATTTCTCCTTATGAGTATTTTCAGCTTCTTCCTCTTTTTCAATATGTTAATAATACTTTTTAGTTGAATTGATAGGGTGTCCCTGATGAGTCCACTCCTCACTGTTGAAATGCTACTGCTGCACTGACAAAAGCAGAGAAGTGGTGAATCTGCAGCATCAGACAGTGTCTCCTGGGGGACAAGAATCAGTAGGTAGCACTGGCCCACCCAGAGTTCCAATCAAAGTCACTCTGCCAGTGCTGGCTCCACCCACCAATCAAGCTCACAAGGCTACTCAGCTGACTATGCTCAGAGTTCAGGAGAGATGATGCTCTGGGCATCATCCAGCCAATTGAGCCCTGAGCACTGAGGGCTGCAGCTCTGTAGACAGCATAGGCCCAGAGCTTAGACAAAGTCACTCAGACACTGGGCACAGTCTGCCCAGTCAAGCTCAGGGGGCTGTGGCCTGATGGGGTTGTAGGTCTAAAGTTCACTTAAGAGTTGCCCTCCATTGGAATTTTCATTGCAGTTTTTCATTTCCTTCTGGTCCTGATCTAAATCTTCAACACCCACACCACCAGGCCCACATTCGTGCCCTTTCTATTCGGCTTCCTGGTTCTATTTTCCCTCTGCAGCAGCCAGCCCTATCTAATATACTATATGGTTTACTTACTTACTTTGTTTATTGTCTACTCCCTCACCCAGATGAGAGCTTCATGAGATCAGTTTGTTCATTGCTGTATCTGCAGAGCTGAGATCAGGGCCTTGAACATACTAAGTGCTAATTGAACTCAGAAGAGCTCTCTGCTTTTCTGGTTCTTGACCAGACTGATCGAGTGAATTCCTTCAACACTCTGCACCTTCTAAGTCCCACACTTGGTGTTCCTGATGTCTGTTTGCCCAAGGATGTAAGACCACCTATGCACCTAGGACAAGTTTATTCCTGTAACACATAGCCAACAGCAGGAGATGTGGGCTGGGGATAAGGGGAGGGCAGATTGATCTCCTTCTCAGCTTTAATCCTTCTCTCTACTAGTAGCTGAGGGGTTTATTTCATGTAAAGTCCCTCACCCAGGACCTCTGCTCACCTGCCCCACCTTGCTGTAGTAATTTGGATGCTTTTTGTCAGACTCAGTAGAGTGCTGTGGCATCATAGCTTATAGCAATCTCAAACTCTTAGGCTCAAGTGATCCTCTTGCCTCAGCTTCCCAACCTGTAGTACCTTGGACTATAGGTTCCCACCGCAATGCCTGGCTATGTTTAGACATGGGGTCTCGCTCTTGCTTGGGCTGGTCTCAAACTCCTGAATTCAAGCAATCCATCCGCTTCAACCTCCCAGAGTGTTAGGATTACAGGTGTGAGCCACTGTGCTCAGCCTTGAATGCTTTTGGTTGGAAGTAGTAAAATAAATACCCAACTAAAAGTAGTTTATGCCAGAAAAGAGATTTGATGAATACATTAAACATAAAAAATTATACATAGTTATTTCAGCATTTTTTCAATGGTTAAAATACCTTTAAGGGCCTTGATTTTTTTCTTTTTCTTTTTTTTTTTTTAATTAAGTTATATATACATAGATCATGAACACATTTATGCCTTTGTGGGATTCTATGTGTTGATTATTTGTACAAATTGGAGTGCTTACATCCTATTAATCAACATAGCTTTCACTTCATTTACTTAATCACAGTGTTAAGACATTTATGTTCAATACTTGATAGAGTTGCAATATGTTAATTGAAATAAAACATTCATGAAAAAGTTTACTATTTTAATTTTTTTCATTTTAACAATTTTTAAGTGTGTAGATTAGTGGCATTAATTTAACTTCACATTGTTGTAAAACTATCACAACTGTCAATCTTCAGAACTTTTTCCTCATCTGAAAAATAAACTCTGAACCCTTTAAACAAAAATACTCCATTGTCTTCTGTCCCAGCAGCCCCCTGGGAACCACAATTACCCTTACTGTTTCTACAAATTTGACCATTTTAGGTATCCCCATATGCAGACTCATGATATTTGTCCATTTATGTCTGGCTTAATTCACTCAGCATAATGTTTTCAAGGTTCATCTTTTCTGTAATGTGTATCAGCACATCATTCACTGGTAAGCCCGAATGCTACTTCATTGCAGGTTTATAGCACACATTTTGTTTATCCATTCATTCATTGAACATCTGAGTTGTTTTTACCTTTTGGCTTATGAATAATGCTGCTATCTATGAACATGGGTGTACATGGGTGTACATGTATCTGTTTGAGTTCCCCCTTTCAATTCTTGTGGGTATATTCCTAAAAGTGGAATTACTAAATGATGTGATAATTCAATGTTTAATGTTTTGATGAAAGCTGTGATACTGTTTTCCACAATGACAGCATCATTTTACGTTCTCATTAGCTAAGGACACTGGTTCCGGTATCTCTACACTTGCTATTTCATGTATTTTCCCCCCCTATGATAACAGCCGCCCTAATGCATGTGATGTGGTATCTCACTGGGGTTTTGATTTATACTTCTTATACAGCAGAGTGCTCTGGGCCAATGGCAGGTTGGACAGGGCTCTAGTGATGGCCTGGAAATGATGATAGATGGGGACACCAGGGCAGGCTTTCTAAATCATGCAGTGGAGCCTGGTGAGGATGTGGCCTCCACTCCTTCCTGCAACCACAATGGGTCTAAACTGACATTCACATTGTGAACAGCCAGTGGATGTTAGTTTGGAATGGGATAATGAGGGGAAGGGAGGAAACCTGAGGGAGTGCACTGAGGCAGGAGTCTCAGAGAGTAGTAGAAATGTTCCCTGAAGAAGAGTCTACAAAGGAAGGCTTGCTGTCCTTGGACAAGAATTCCTTGCTGATGAGGCTGTGGGTGGCCAGAATCCTCAGGAATCCATGGCGAAACTTTTGGCCAATGAAGGCATAGATGATGGGGTTGAGGCAGCTGTGAAGGAAGCCCAGCATCTCAGTGGCTTCCAGGACCAAGTCAATGTTGTTGCGGAGGTCACAGGTGTCCATGATCACCTGGGTCCTCATAAGGGTGTCTGCCAGCAGGACCAAGTGGTACGGCAGCCAGCAGAGCAAGAAGATGAGGATGACCGCAAAGATGACCCTCATGGCCTGGTACTTATGTCTCATGTGGGCCTTAATCAGCGTGCAGAGGGAGAATCCATAGCAGAACAGCATGACCAGCAGAGGCAGGAAAAAGCCAAAAGTCTGAGGCAGGATCCGTAGTACCATCCGCCATTTTGATGTATTTATGCCCATGTCCTCATAGCAGACTGGGTTGGAGAAAGGAGGGTAGATGGCCTTCCGGAAAATTATGGTGGGAAGGGCCAAGCACAGGGACAGGGCCCATGTGCCTATACAGGCAAACTTGACCAAGTGGCGCTTCAGGGTGAGCGTGCGTGTGGCATGGACAATGGCCAGGTAGCGGTCCACACTGATGCAGGCCAGCAGGAGAATACCACTGTAGAAGTTGACTTCCTTCAAGAGGGACACTAGCTTGCACAGGGGTGTGCCAAAATTCCAGCCATTCACCTTGGAGGCGGCCCAGATAGGCAAGGTCAGAGCAAAGAGTAGATCAGCCATGGCCAGGTTCAGCAGGTAGATGTCAGTGACAGAGCGGCTGACACGGCTGTACAAGATGACCAGCATCACCAGGGAGTTTCCCAGCAGGCTCAGCAGGAACACCAGGGCGTAGATGGTGACCACTGCATACTTATTGATTCCTAGGGATTCTGACTGGCATGGGGCAGAATCTGGTAGAATAGGGGGCAGGTCAGTGCTGTAGCTGTAATTACTAAAGTCTTCATTAAGGAAATCTTCCCAGTCAATATCTTCCATTTTTGTGGTAAATTTAAGTCCTGGCCTACAGAAGAGATATGAGAGTTATTGTACAATAAGCCCTCCCCAGGTTCATGCCTGTCCTCCCTAGACACCAGGATAGGTTAATTTGCATGAGCTTGCATGTTGCATGGAAGTAATTTTACAAATTTGTAAGTGGGAGGGGGATCAGTGTTATGGGAGAAGTTTAGTGATACATGATAAAATACTGTAGTTCTTTTCAGCATCAGAGAGAGATTCTTAGCATTTCTGGGACATGGCCAGACTCCATCGAAAGTTCCCTTCAGATAGTCCCTACAGGCCCTGCAGTC